TTTCCATCTAAACTTCCAGTGGGATTTTCTTCTCAACATCTCTGGATGAAGATTCCTGGTTTCTACCACTTCAGGATCGCCATGTAATAAATAATGTTGTGGGGTGGTAAATAACTGTTGTTGTACTTAGTTAACCATTTATTTAACACTACTGTACACTCTTTAATGTTACTTAATCTAAATATTTCAGTACTTAATTGACGCTGACTATATGCGGCATTAACTTGCCATTTTGACGGTACATTAATTAAGATCCCTGAGAGAATGATTGTTGGGGCTTTTATAGTAGTCCTTGCTATATCAGCAAATGTTTACTTATTAGTATGTCAAGTTTGTTCATGACCTACGCCAAGCATGTGGTGATCGGCAATAGCGCTGATTAACAATTCTAATTAGAGTATGTTATTTATGAATGCCCTCGATTCAAATTACTAAATATATTTATATAAACAGAATGTTAAATGTTACACGGGTATGAATTATAATATTTTATATATGTGAATTCTAATATTTAAGGGTTGATATTACACTCTCCTTGTTTGACATCAAATTTAGTTGGGTTATGTTGTTGTTTGTCCCAAATGTCACATAAAATCTTATTTATATTGAAGTTTTTTAAAAATTGTGTCGCATTTTAGACTATTATCGTTAATAATTAATTAAAACTTTCTCGTCTAAGACACATTCTGAAAAATATTATATAGCTACTGTTGATAAGTGTGGGAAAATTTAAATTTGGCGCATTCGCATTTCCGGATATGTCCGCCATCAAAGGCCGCTTTTTTGGTCTTCTTTTCATAAGGATTAGATTCCCTCTTTTGTCTTTTTGCTCGATGGCGAAAACACACGAATCTTAAATGACAAGCGTTGTCATAATAAAATACAAAGTTGATGTTATTGTCAAAGCCGTTACATAGAGCTACCCAAAATCGTCCCGAAAGTAAAAAAATTAGTCCCGAAAGTAGCTACTTTCGGTACGAGTTGTGTAAAATGCTACTTTCGATTTAATAAATCATACCGAAAGTTTTATTTTGAGGACGGCTGCAAAAAAAACAAATTTTTATAAATGATAACTTAATTTTTGATTTTTCCAGTACACACAACTTTATGATACAATAGTAAAAACTTGAATTTTAGCTACATAAATTGATTACACTTTAGAAGAGTAGGAAGGCACGTGTGAATGCTGACTGAGCTGCTAAAAAGTGTTCATAATTTGGTAATAATCTGGTATACTTAAATTGGGATGGGTCAGTGAATCGGTTTCTAATGTTGTTTTTGCAAAGCTTAATAAGAGAAAAAACTTCAGCGCGTGAGATTTCAAGTTTATTTAAGAAACTTGATTTTGACAGAGCATTTTGCAATATTGTATGCTACAACGTAACTGGCATGTGTAGCTACCTTTTAGAGCATTTGTTAAAAATATGTTGTGTACATAAAAGTTTTTTAGGTAGAGCTCCTATTTTTTGTTCGTTATTCTTCAGTCATAGTTTCATACGTGGTGTTATTATGGTTTTTCATGAAGTGTAGTGAGAGATTAAATTTCTTAAATACGACTACATGCAGCTTCATTGAAATTGAGACACACGGGTTTATTCTTAATAGGCGTGAAAAAGTTCACTTATCTTTAACACACAACATTGTGAATCAACTTCACTTTTTTTTACTTTCTATTGTAACGATTTCAAATGTGAAAATATTGTTACTTTTTTTTTCGGGTTCAGAGATTTAGTAAAGCAAACTTGGTTTAACTAACTTATTTCAACTCCAAAACAAATTGATATAAGGTTGATGACGTTGTTAATGACAAGTTGATATTGGTTAATGACATTCTGTCTCCGGCTTCCGTACACAATGTAGCTTCGCCTTTTTTTTTAATTTTAAAGTGTTTGTCCTTGTGTAGTGTAGTGTGATGTACCATTTTATGTTTATAACATTTTATTCTTGTCGGATAGGCCACAATTGACGAAATGCCCCTGAAGATGCTCTAGGCAGCGAAAGTACTTGGGCCAGATTAAATTAATTAAACTGTGCTCGATATTTGCCTTTTATTTGATCAAAGTCCAAAACAAGTCACTAAATTACAAATTTTATTAATTCTAATTACTTTAATAAATATCGCGTACAATTCACACGAATATCGCTTACAAAACAGTTCCCCAATATTAATCCTTAAAGACCGCTTCTGCGGCTTATATAATATTACAGCTGTCGAGGCGACTTACATTGACTACATGACTCTCTGACGCTAACCTCCTGTGTCATTACGCCCACGCAAAGGTGTGTGCCAAGTCAGTCAACATTGGACGCGATAATACCGTACTTGGAACGCAATAGCAAGGAAACCGTTATTCTATTCTAGATAGGCAAAAAATATATGATTCTTATTGCAATATGTATAATGTAATTGTATAAGTTACTCGAAAGAGGCTGGTATTTTGTTCCTCTCATCAGGAGACCAAGGTATTGATATTTCTACACATGTCCGATATTTTGGCCGTCAATAATAAATTGGGCATTATGATTTGTTTTCTTGGTAAATATTAGAAACTCAGTTTTGTCCAAGATCGTATTTAAGCCATAATGTGAACTTGCATATAAACTATTCTCTTCAAATATTTTGAAAAGTTGTCCAGTGCAAAGTAACTTCAAAATATTTTTTTTTTTGTTTGGCTTGGACAATTGTCATTCAGCCAGTCTCGATCAACATAAGTTTATTTAAAGAATTTAAATTATTATAAGAATAAGAATATAAAAATAATAATAAACTTTAGAGTACAACTTAAATAGTAATGGAGAGAATGCAACCTTACCATACCTAGCCTTTAATTTTGATGTTTTTCGATTGTGGTTATCTATTTTTATGTGCGCTGTCTGGTTATAAGTTTTGTATTATTCTTATATCTCGCTTTTCTATTTACTTTTGTTTCAAATTGTCATTGGTTAGTCATACCTTACTCTGTCAAATGCCTTTTTATAATCTATAAAACAAACATACACATCTTTATTCGGGCCCAAACAGCATTGCGCTAATACGTTTATACGGAATAAAGCCTCTCTAGTTTCCGCTCCATTGCGAAATCCGAACTGTTTTTTATTTATGCTAGGATCTAATTTTTTGTAAATACGATTGTGTATAATTTCTTCAATAAACTTATTGTTCTATGATCTTTACATTTTTTAGCATTGTTTTTCTTGGGAATTGCAGTGAAAGTAAAAGTCAGCCAATCATCCGGTATTGCTTCTGTCTCTTAGAACGTATTAAAAATTTTAGTAAGCACATTTATATTATATTCGTTTAATAACTTTAATAGTTCAACAGACATCTCATCCTGACCAGGATTAGTTTCGTTTTCCATATTCTTGAGCGCATGTAGTACCTATTGATTTATCATTGGCCCGTTCTCTGGTTCTTCCGATATTGTTGGACCAAGTCTTTCATCTTAAAAGAGGTCTTCTATATATCCTTTCCATGTTCGTATTTTTGTTTCGTTTCGTTGTCTTCTTCTGTCTGTCCGTTGCCATCAATTAGTTTATTTCCGAGTCTGCGTCTGTAGCTTCCTGTGATCTCTCTAATCTTCTTATTATGTTAAACGGTGTAATTCTTGTAGCTTTTCTATTTCACAGCATTTCTCATTCGACCAATTTTTCTTTGCTTTCCTTATTTTCTTTTTTTTTTCTTTGTGTATCTTGTCATATCTTGTTTTGGCTAAAGTTTTAATGATCCTTCTGTTTCCCATTAACCTAAGTATTTCATCGGTCATCCAAGTTTTTTGGTGACTTCCAGATATATACCTAATCATCTTGGTGGAAGCTTCTATAACATGCTTATATTACCATTTTTTTTGTCTTGGACAAATAACCAACCCTTCTCCTCTTTCATTGCGCTCGCTAAGTCCATGTTCTCCAATCTTCGCATTTCCCTTTGGCTATTTTGGCGTTGAAATCACCCATTTTAACATATTTTAATAGTTGTTCAATATGGCCATAAAATTATATAATTTTGTTACACTGCTTTAAAATAATTTTATTGAACACCAACTTGTTTACAATACTTTTACAGATTAATAACTACAACTTTTATAAACATCAAATTTAAAATACTACTGTTCTTAACTGTCAAAACATCTGTTTATATATTGTTTCTGACGTTTCAAACTTCACTGACATTTCATGAATTTTCGATATCATCTTAAATGTTCTAGAACTACTTATTATTTTTCTATGTGGATCAATCTTACGGAAAAACTAACATGCAAAATATCCTTGTCTTCACTCTGAGCTGTAAACTTGTTTCATTTTAACTTTTGCAGTATGAAATTGTACTATTATCATTAATTCTAATAGATGAATAAAGCCAGTGATCGATCGATTGGTAATTTCGGGCAACTATGATCACAACAGTCAACAACACGCAACTTTTCTGCGTAAATAGCCTTTTATTTCAATACTTCTTTCCCGCCGGGATTTCTTAGCAGCCTTCTCCAGAAAAGTATCTCCGATGCAGTTGAATATTTGTGTTCGCAAAATTTCCAAGCTTTTACACTTTTTCTTTCATGAATTTAAAGCATGTTGCAGATACAATTTAAACAGTGCAAACAACTGCACTGCACTGTTATTTTTAAGACCTTTCACCACTGTAAAACCATTTAACGTCTTCGTTTTTAATTTAATACTAGCCTTGGTTTATTGTATAGCTTTTTCACTGCTTCGTCATTGACACTGTTTTTAAGGTTAGTATCTACAAGAGACAAATAAAACACAGAGAAATACTATTATAGGCCTTTGATATTATGATGACCTCTTCATTTCTACCCATGTAATTCGAAATCTGTTTTAAGTAAGAACCCTTTTAAGCCTGTTTTAAGTAAGAAATATTTGCTTAGCAGTGCTGATTTACCACTGAGTGATCACTGGATTTAGTGGCTTAAAACGGTTTCCTATATGATTCCTTTTAAATTTTTCAATCAAAGAAAGAGATAACGATAAAAAACAAAAACTTGTACTTACAGTATCTAACTTTATTATAAATATACATTTTCTCAAATGATTGGTATTTTCTTGCCTGCGACTATATTTACAAACAAAAAACTATCCACGATTAAAACAAACCATTCGGCGATAATATGGATAATTTCAACATATAAATACTTAAAAATACATAAAAAATATTTTAAAAATAACAACCGCCCATTGCCGGAGGATATGAATAGGTATGGAGATTTTTTTCACTTAGTAGAGCTTTACAAAATCCAGAAGTATAAAATGAATGAAAGGAAAACTAGTCCGCCCACAGCTGCCGTTACGTACATCGATTTTGTGTTCAAGTATGTCGAATCTTTCTTGTATTTGTCTGTTAACATTGATAGATTCTGCGTTTTGGTGTCCAGTTCTTAAAAAAGAAAAGTAGATATATTATTAATAAGTTTAACAAGCAGTTGTGCAAGAATGTCCAATGTTTGAAAATAGAATGAGGATATGTCATATGTCATGAGGAACTTCCATCTGTACTTGGGGAACACTGCGCCACCAAGAAGTGTGGCTTAAAACATCAATAAATACAGGTTTAATAAATTATAATTATTGATTGAGTATTATCACAATATTTAAATCAAGGTGACCGAAAAACAATTTATTTTTCAAACTTTAAATCTTCGGAGCATTATGCAACATTTTTGTGGTGGAATCCATGACCTTAACCATTTTAATACACAAACCACAAGATAAACCAACCACACTATCCAATTGCTTAGATGCAAATAATTTTCCTAAAAAAGCAAGTGAACTGACTAACCCCCGCTTAGTTCACTTTGCTGTCTAGTTGCCACAATAGTAACTGTTTCTTTAATAAAAAACTAATTGAGGGGGCCAGACATAGAACGATTTAAGTGCATTTTTATGGTCTGAGATAATCTGCTTGAATGTTGTTTGAATTTTATAAATTCTAGAAGTCATTCAACTAAAATATGTTCTATAAAATGATAAAACTATAAGGGTGTATTATTACTCTTACTTATTTAACTATTGAAAAAATGTACTTGAATCGGTACATGGTGTTGATAAATGTTACTAGTAAAACGGTTCAAGTGCAGATGTTAACTATTACTCATTGCTTAAGTATTCAACTAAACTTTATTTTGTAAACCTTTAGGTACAGTATCATTCGTAATCCAACTCTAATGAAATATCTTCTTCGACATCGATCTCGTGGACGTCATCTCTACTGTTGGTATTCCAATTCTATATTGTACATTTTTATGTTAAGTGTTGGCATTACCTGTCAGTGACAAGTGTCAACGTCAATAAGTTGAATTAAGACATTTTTGTAAACAGGAATTTATGTTAGATTAAAACGTTTATTTTTGTCAACGTATCGTTTTAGTATTAAATCTATAAGCAAGACTTTTTCCATCACGCATCCCTAAATCTACCGGCAGCTGATTCTGCTGATTCCAGTTTTACATCTGCCCTTGATGTTCCAGTATGTTTCAAATTTCGGTAAAAGGAGTGGTGACATAAGGGAATGTAGCCCAAGAGGCTTAGCAGATTTTTATATTTGGCATCCTTAATTTTTGAAGAGGCTCTAAAAGATATTGATGAAGGAATCTCAATAAATGGAGGGATCAATAACCTGCGGTATGCAATACCATAGAAGGGGTGCAAAACTAACAATATAACGGAAACAAGTAGAACATATGGACTGGATATAAACACCAGCAAAACCAAGCTAACGATCATCAGCAAGGAAATCATAACTGGAGCAAATCTGTAGGTGAACCAAATGAGAATTGAATGTGTCTCACAGTACAACTACATGGAAACTATAATCAATGAGTCGCGGGACAATACCCAAGAGATTAAATGTCACATCGGAAAGGCAAAAAGTGCATTCTTGACTATGAGCTCTGTGTTCAAGAGCCATGACCTCACCCTAGAAACAAAAATAAGGCTCCTTAAATGTTACGTATACTCAGTGCTTATATACGGAGTAGAAACTTGGACATTAAAGGTGGAAACTCTATCAAAACTTCAGGCTTTTGAGCTATGATTATACAGAAGGGTCCTGAAGATACCATGGACAGACAAAGTCACCAACGAAGAAATACCGCGGAAGATAAACACAACCGCGGATTTGGTCAACATCGTGAAGGGACGTAAGCTGCAGTACTTGGGACATATAGTGAGAAATCAAGACAAAAACGAGCTACTCCAATGCATTTTGCAAGGTAAAATTGAAGGAAAAGGGCCCCAGGACAAAGAAGAATATCCTGGCTAACCTGAGAGCATAGTATAGAGATACTTCAACACAGCTATTCCGTATAGCAACCAACAAAGTAACCATAGCCAGAATGATCGCCAACGTTCGGAACGGACTGGCACCCTAAGAAGAATAAGATCCTTAATTGGTAGTGCAGTGTCATTAATAGGGTTCAATTTGGAGAGATGAAAAGATGGATGTCTACCTTGTGCTTTTCCGATAGTACACATTGAAAACTCAAAATTCTCATTTAAAGTTTTTTTTAATTTATTTACAAAAATACTTCAACCACTAGGGGTTATTAGCATGGTACAATAAATTACATAAATGTTAATATGTTACCCTATATTTTGTGAAGTAGTCCTGCATTTTGTAAAAAGTTTATAGTTTTATCATTATTGAAGCCGTTTAAGCACTCTTTGGATGAAGTGGGTAATCCAGCTTGAAGTCGTTCTAGGGTGTACAAAGGGCAGTCCACTAGCACATGGTCCACTGAAATTACACAATCACAACTGTAGCACATGGGAATTTGTTCATTACTTAGAAGGTAATCGTGAGTTAACTTCGTATGGCCTATACGTAATCTAGAGATGCACACTTGGTCTCGTCGCTTGAATGGGAGTTTGTATACAGCTACCTCTTGCTTAATGTTTTTCATGGATGTCTCTGAATTGTTCCAGTGTAGTTGCCATTCCTCGCTTATTTTGTTTCTAAAATATTGCTTCAGGTCGCTATGAACGCATTTAGTTAATAATGTTGATTGTGGATTTTCTGCTGCTTCCCTGGCCAACTGATCAGCTTTTTCGTTTCCAGTTATACCACATGTGACGGAACCCAAAGGAATTTAACAAATCGGTCGTTTTCTTGACATCTCATTAGTTCTGACTTTATAAGCAATAGAATGGAATGGTTTGTGTATAACTGTTTCATAGAGCTGAGAGCACTTAAAGAGTCAGTTATTATCAGAGTTTTTTATGTTTTTATTATTTACAAATGTTATTGCTTGCAAAATAGCATGAAGTTCTGCGGAAAATATGGTTGATCGTAGGGAAAGTGAGAAGGAGTAGTCTTGGTGTAAAGTTGTAAAAGAAGCCCCTACCCCATTGTCAGATTTAGACGCGTCTGTAAAAATGAGGAAGTTATGCGAGCAGTTTAATTTCTCTACTGCTTTCTTTTTAAATATACTACGTTGGGTGTCATATTTGTTATTGATAGTTAGACTTGTATCGCAAATAGGCAGCTGTATTCTCCAAGGAGGTTGATGATTAAGGTTAGTTACATTGTATGTGTCAGGAAAATGAATGTTTAAACTATTTTGTAATTTTTGGATCCGGATATAAAACGGGGGACTTAATCTTTGTGAGGTGTTAAATGTCGATGTGAATCTGTTAGCAAACGTGTTTTTAAATGTCGGTATATGTGGATTGGCTGATAATTTAGCCGCATACATAAGGCTGAGATAGTTTCTTCTTCGTTGAAGAGAAGGTTCTCCTGATTCACAATATAAACTTTCAATTGGGCTAGTATGATGAGATCCCAGTGCTATTCTTATTGCTGTATTGTGTATTGGGTCTAGTAATTTAAGTATTGATGCTTTGGCTGAGTTATAAGCAACTGCGCCATAGTCTAGTTTAGAACGAATTACAGTTCTGTAGACAGTTATGAGTGTTTGGAAATCAGCTCCCCATTGCTTGTGAGATATGCTTTTCAATAAATTTAGACCATTTGAGTTGTTTGTCGAAGATGAAAAATATGATCTTTCCAGATTAACCTATGATCTAGTTTCATTCCTAGGAAGGTAGTTGATTCAACATAAGTAATAGGTAACGAGTATAAGGTGAGATTAGGTGGTAGTATAATGTTTTTTGGGCTCTTGCTAAAGAAAATTGCTTTTGTTTTATTTGGAGATATCTGTAGCCCACATCTGTCTGACCAATTTTCTAGTTGATTGATAGCGGCTTGTATATATCTGGTAAGTGTTAGAACATTTTTCCCTCGAGAAAATATGACGAGATCATCAGCATATAAGCGTGCTTTTACTAATGAACTAAAGGATTTAGAGATATCGTTAATCGCAATAAGGAACAACACTACGCTTAGTGTAGATCCTTGTTGGATACCATTAATTTGCGTTGTTGCCTCTGAACAAACATTATCTACACGAACTTTAAACTCACGAAATATTAGAAAATTTTTTATAAACTTAAGAATGTTACCTTTGATTGACCATCTGGATAAGTTTTGTAATATGTCGGATCTCAAATTGTATCATATGCATGGGTTATATCAAAGAAAACTGCTAAACACTCTTGATTGCATCCAAATGCTTCGTGAATTTGGGATTCTATATCAACTAGATTATCTAAAGTAGACCTTGATTTCCTGAAACCACAATGAATAGGGGTAAGAAGTTGTTTGTCTTCTAGGTACCACAGTAGTCTATTGCTTACTATTTTTTTCCAGAATTTTACATATAGAACATGTTAGTGAGATCGGTCGATAAGACTCCGGGTCTGATTTTCTTCTTCCCTGCTTAAGAACTGGAATAATAATTGACTGGTGCCAACTATCAGGAAACACATTTTTTGTCCAGATAAAATTGTAAATTTTTAGTAGGTATTGTTTACCTTCTTCGGGTAATGATTTTAAAAAGGCAACTGGAATGTTATCAGGTCCAGGACTTTTATCTTTTGTATTGTTTAATGAATATAGTAACTCGTCCATTGAGAGTTCAACATTAAGAGGAGAATTAGTATGATCTTCTAAATCTATATAAGTGTTCTCTAGATTTTGTTTGTGTATTATGGAATTTGTAGAGATAATGTCATTACTGGAGTGTCTTTGATACGTATCAGCAAGTATAGCAGTTATTTGTTCTTTCGTCGAGCAAGTAAGATTGTTATGTTCTAGATAATGGACTGTATTGAAGGATTTTTTTCCATTCATTTTATTAATCATTTGCCAAACTTCGGAAATAGGAGTAGATGAATTTAAGGACGAGACATACGCTTTCCATGCTTTCCATAAAGACCAGTCGGCATTCTTTAGATGCCATTTAATAGACGGAATGGAAGAGGGAGCTGTATTGTTATTGTATGTGACTTGCCAAGACAGTCCAGGTTGTAAAACTGTTTCACATAAACTTAAATCAGTTGTTGAACCGCCACCAGTAGAGACATTAAATCTGGAAAAACTACCATCATTAAGTAAGTTGAGATTAAGGTTAGTTATAATTTGTTCGATTTTACACCTAAAACTATCGGATTTATTTGATCCCCATAGAACATGATGTGCATTGAAGTCACTTAAGATAATTCGTGGTTGAGGAATTTGATTAAAAAGGTCTAATAATTCGCGAGCTGAAGGATCAGTACCAGGAGGAATGTATATATTGCAGATGTTTATTTTCTGAGGTCCTTTCAAAGTTATTGCTGTAGCCTCTAATTGTGTATTTAAATCAATTATTTCTTAATCATATTGGTTATGTACATAAATAGCTGTCCCTCCACTAGCCTCGTTTGCATTAAGTCTATTTTTAATATATGGTGTGTAGTTTTTTAGTTTGTAAAATTTCTGCTGTTTAAAGTGTGTCTCTTGTAGACATATTATGGACGGTCTGAATTTGGACATTAGTAATTTAAATTCTTCTAGACGGGTGTAAAACCCGTTCAGATTCCACTGAATTATGGAGTTGAATTTTTAATTAATAGGTGTATCGCTGCAATCTGTAGAGGAATGGTTTAAAGTATGTTTGTAACTGAAAGCCAGTTTTTCTGTCTTAAAATATGTCAACCAGAAAATACTGTGCCATTGTATAGTCTGGCCAATGAAATTATTTTTAGAATCTTTCATTATTTTATGTAGAATCGAAAAGGAGCAAAAATCTTCTGTCACATTGTTGTAAACTATAAACTTTGAGAATGTATTTTTTATAACATGTTCCCAATCGGCTGGAACAAAAACTTGAGGATTTTGTCATTTCTTTTTTTTTTCAATTCAACCAAAACTGCAGTCACACTCCATATATGTAGGTGTGGTCAGGTTCCAGAAACTTGTGATGGATCTTGGTGATAAAAGTAGCTTGAACGATGAAGGTGAACAGTTTGCAGGTGTTTTGTTTTTATTCTTCCCTCCAAAAGAATCACTGTATGCAATTATCTTTCTTATGTTTGAAGGTAGTCTCCTGATAAATTTTATCAGACATGAGCCTATTTCTTGGGAATGTCTTGCTGCAATCATTTCATTCCATAAAAAAATGACACTTTGTCCAGAAAGTAAGTTATATATACAAAAATTGTATGTCCATAGTTGACAAAGGTAAAATACCTTAAATGTAGTTACTAGTGGTGTTGGCAATGTCTGTTGCAAATCCAAACAAATAATCAATTTTCTTTGATATAATTCTAAATCCCATTTAGTGCTTAATATAGTTTCCTCAGTTTCAGAGTATTTTAACAAGTTCTGAAAATTGTCACAGTGACTATATGCATCCAAGGCTATGGTGAAATTTCAAATTAACTCTGTGTTGAAGATATATCAATAATATGATTCTTTCACAGGTTCCTCATGTTCATTACAAAATGCCTTATATAGTTTATACATCTTACTAAGATTCAGATCGCTAGGAAAGTATTTAGTATCCAGATTGTCTTTTCTCAAATAATGGCTGTGATACTTTGGAAACATCTTAATGTGGGAAATCACCATATTTTTGGATGATTGTATAATTTTGTTTGTTTCCTTCCCACATTTATCAGGTTCACTCATTCCGAACTCTGATGTTTTTGAATAAACAACCTGAAATCTGTGTACAGAAATGTCAAAAGTATGCAAGCAAAACGTTTTTAGGCATGTTTTCCCAGCAGAGTTATTGTGCTGTGGAGTCTGGTGTCTCGCTTACGTTTTATTGTTATTTTAGGAAAAATATGTAAATTGTCAATGTTTTCAGAGAAATGCTCGTCAACCTCTGCGTCATCATCCGATTGTTATTCTTTATCCGATACATAATCTGAATTGTCATCCGATTGGAAACGATCAGATTATTCTGCAACAAATACGAAATATTGAATTTTACAGAAAGCCCTAGTGATAGTGTGTGGAACTTTTATTATTTATATTTTTACTTCAACTTACAACAAAACAATCTTTTGTATAATAACCTATACACTCAAAAAATAAATTTTATGATGTTACTTTGATTTAATTTACTTACCATACTTACCAGTTGCATAATACTTAATTAGTTTTCAGAATTCGGCACAAATTTAATATTTATTTACTTGAAAATAATTCTGTATTAACAGAATACTAAAAATAGTATTGTGGTAACATGATTCAAGCGCAAGTAAACCTGTTACCTACTAATGCAGACTGCAAACTACATTTGTTTTCATTATATTAAATATAATGGCGATAGATGGTGACTGTAGGGCAAAATAGAAAAGTGCACTTAAATCCTTTTACTTCTAACCCTCTCAATTAATAGTATGGTTAATATAATATATTATAAATATGGTAAGTGTTACAATAAAGTAGAATGCTGTAGCTTAAAAGAATAATTATTTTATTAGAGCAATACTGAATTATAAAATATATACTACTAAAATTTTATAGAAATTGGGGAACAAGAGGAAAACAACAAAATCATTAAATATTGAGAAACCATTGTAGAACACGATGTGTGTATTATGTGTGTTTGAGGATTATTGGCTTCAGAGTCAATGTCCATCTGTCATCTTACCCCTTACCCTTATGGGATTATTTTGTATTTTTTATGCAGAAGCTCTATAGGAGTGCTCCTTGCTTTCTTCTTGTTTTTTAGGTAGGTATAAAATCATAATCCTGCTCTAATTTGACAAAGATATATTACTTAATTAGTTGTTTTTTTATTACTATTATAGATTCATCATATTTTGGGCAGTTTTCTTTTGTAGTGTTGTTTTATTTTTTTTTTCTTTCTTTTTTTTTTGTAGTTTTACAATTTCTTTATTTTTTTATTCACATTTTTTTAAATTCGTGTTATTTTTTTCTAATATAATTTGATATAACAGGATGTGAAAACAAAAAAATGTGTGAAATAAAAAAAGACAACAAAGAAACATGAAAAGAAAAAAAGTTTTTCAGTATTAGAGTATGAAACAAAACGAGGAAAACTAGCTTTTCCATGGAAGAAAATCATAAATTTCTTGTAAGCGGGCATTCATTCTTATCTTGTGGCCAAGATTTTGGAGTTATTGAAAAAATAATACTATCCTCACACTCTGCACCCCCACAATTGGACACACAGTTTTAGAAATCCAAGAAGAAAATCCAGAACAAAACATCACAAAGCAGAAAGTTTCATCAGCTAATACTAATGTGAAATAGATTAAGTAGAAAGTAGTGGATTGTCTAAATGGCTATGAATCATATTGCACAAAGTACAAATGTATACTTCAATGGTACAAATTTTAATAATTTTAGAAGGGCTGACGCACAGACTTTTTAAGGTCATAGCTGCTTAGAAAATCCACAAGCGCTATACTTACACATTTAAGTATAAATACTCCAATTAACCAGATAATTATTTTTAAGTTGGCGATTGTGCAGAGAGCCTCATGCATATCTGCATGATGCAATAATATTGCATCATTCTATAATAATGAATTTCATATAATAAGTATATCATTTTTAAATTATTTTTACTTATTTCACTAACACATGATTTGAACTCACCTGATAAAACAGTTCCTCGCTGGAGCACATCATCTATATTTTGTACCATAATTCTTTGAACATCATGTAGTTGATTATTTATCACATTTAAATTCCTTCTTGATCTTGAATCTGCAAACTGTTTTTTGGCTTTCTGGATGTATGTGTCAAACTCTATGAATGTATAAGGTCTAGTTACTGTATTCACCCTTTTGCCATACTGTGCATGGAATTCTTGTGCTATATCTTCTAAATATGAATAAGCCAGTCGTTTTGAGAAAGCCTTTTCACATAATACTAGGTAACAAACTTCATATTCTATTAAATAACTAAAAACAAAAATTAACCTTTAAAAACATGTTCAATGATAACATCAATACATATGTTAACAAAGTTAATTACTAGGTAGATGAAATACAATACACAATAGAATAATTAGTAGTAATTATATGTATTGGATTACTTTTTGAACAGCTAAGTACAATGATCAACTTACTGAAATATATAAGGTCCCGTTTCAATTGAACATCTAGCAGGGGACTGGTGTCCTAATTTTCGAAATAACATTTTGGCCTGATTCTGGTAGTCCAAAATATTTCTTCCAGACTGGAAATTAAGAATGTGTAAATGATAAAAAAAAATAAATAAACCCTAGATACCTGTTCGTCCTCTTGCATTGTGGCTGCAAGGGGCAAACCATCGGCCACTCGGGCAATCATTGTCATTAAAACCATTATTTCTTAATTTTAAAAACACCCTTTTTGATTTTTAAATGACAAATCTTGCAGTAAGTGTTGGGTAGGTTATTTTATTTACACGTCATAACTAAAATACACGTAAGATTCTTCTCTTTTCAACTATATAACGACTATGCAAATAGCAACTATAATCATGATGATTAGAAATTGTATACAAAAAGAAGTAAATTTTAAAATAAAATTCTCTTTACTAAGTCTTTAAAATGTTTGCTACATTAATGTCATTGTACTAAATTAAAGCTTTCATATGTTTTTCAAGATGTATATTTTAACAACATCTCTATACTGTTCTTAAATATAACTTACTAACGTTCCAGTTCCAATTCCAAATTCCAAATTCGTTACCGTTACCTGTCAGTTGTGCTCTTGTCTGATGTATTAATTATCAAGTGCCAATTTAGCTTATTTTATGCTAGATTTGGCATATTTTTATGTTGTTTAGCTTATTTATTTGTTGTTTAGCATATAGCATATTTTCTAGCATATTAAATATAAAAATAAATTATGTAGTAAAAATTTCATGAATTTCAATTGTAAAAAATAATATGTAACATAATCGAAAATCTTCTAATTCAGAACAAATTTTTATGTTGGCCTTGCAATTACTAAAACAACTTGTAGTATATCACAGGAACTTGAAACTGATATCAGTGAGTCAAATCCGAATAAAAATGTTTACACATTCACACACACACACACCTACATCAGCAAATCCCTTCGCCTTCAATAATGTTTATATTAAGTATATATCTGTGGTGAGGATGATATATTACTATTAACTACAGAATCATGTTTCAGCATTTTTTAAAACAAATAATTTATCTGTTATGATTTTACTGGGTTATGCTTGCTATACCGTTTTTGTATTAGCTGATAATGGAATACTGTTTAATGTAATGAAATTAAGCATAAAATATATTTTTTCGTTGGTTTTCTTGATTAATAAAACATTTGAAGTTAAATGACGTGTTATTATTTTATTTGATAGATATTAAAAAATATTGGCATAATTTTTAGCATTATTATAAAGCAATTAGCATAATTTTAGCAAAATTTGAACAGATGTTTGGCAAATATTATATTGGTCGGGTTGGCAACACTGTAAATTATGTTAATTGTAGTTGTTATCAATTTTTGGTGATATACTGGTGTTTACACGTGAAAATTATTGTGTATTTATAAGTTGCAATCATTTATATAAAAAATCAATTATTTAATCTCTTTCGGTACATTTTGATCATGAACGCATTTATCCACTGTGGTAGAGGTGAGTACATTTTTTATAAATACAGTAAGTTATATTGTATGCGTTATTCTTTTGTTAGAGCTGTATCTATATTTATCATTTCGATTAGTAAACAATGAGATAAGTGCTAATAAATTGATAAAATTGAAGTTTATCAGAGAAATATTCTTCAAAAATGTTAGTTGGGGTAGTAAGTTAGTTTCTACCTGATCCATAGCGATTCTCGAAGGTCAACGTTCTGCCTGAAGGTAGGTTACAAGTTTTAACTGATTCACTGATTGTTTAGTGGTAATACCAGAAGAATTCTTGTGTAAAAGAGTGACTAATCCTTTATTAATAGTAATAAAGAAATTAGAGGATTTCAACAAGCTGTATGAGATGCTCAAGCAGATGCTAACAGATTTATTGTCTGTAAACGACTTTGAATTGTCAACATTTCTTTTATTTTTAGACATAAAAAAAGACTGAATACAATGTTAAAATCGTCTGTCCAGCATAAGATTCTAAATTATTTACCCGACGATAGACCGATTACTGCAATACAAGTAAGTTTTTGATTTAAACTTGTACCTACTCACTTCTAATATGGTTTCCTCTTATAAACAAACTTGTACAAAGTAATTGTAGTTGTAGTCATTTGCAATATTTTGTGTGAATAATATGTAACTAATAATTGAAAAAACTAAAATCTTATTTGTTATTTTATATCATTATTTTACTGCAAATTGCTTATAATCACTTATTTCCTTGTACATATATTTTACTTTATTTTGTTTTATAATTTGCTATAAAAAGTTATATGTTAATTTTTTTAACTAATAGATAAACACTTTACATAAAGCATTCATTACCAAATTAATAGTACTTAAAATTCCACGAGGAAACTAAGTTCCTGTAGCTGGCTGTATACCATATATCACAAAAAAAATTTGTTAAAATCCTTTATAAAAGGTATATAAAATTGCCTCAAACGGGCTATCACAAACACATTGCAAAACGTTTTCGGATTAAACAATCCATCATCAGTGCAAACCTGAAAGTATATAACCACTTTAATTAAAAAGAACGTTAAATGAAAATGTTGACAAAGGTTAGAGCAAAATGTGGTTAATACTTACGGTTGTACATGCTAGTAGCCACCAAAATATATGGGTAAAAACCCTTAAAAGTTATAAATTTGAAATTGTTTTACATTATTAGTGTTTCTAATTTGTGATGGTTAAGTTACCGTTGGATAGGTAACATGGCGGCGTATGACTCTACATGAGTAAAATGGTCCTGAGACGAAGTGTCTACGAGGACCTGTTGATAACAACTGATAACATGAAATTGTTCTTTAACATTTGTTAAAAACCAATTTTCAATGTTACAAATATACCTATCTGATTAATTTACAGTACAGATTACAATATTGATGGTTGATACTGTTACATTATTATAATTTTAACTTTTTTAATTTTAAATAAGGCTGACATCTGTCAATTTTAGACAACTACCATAAGTTACACTGACTGCTCTGACACAACATCCGTCCTAACTTGTCAACAATGTCATTATAATCAGTTGTTATCAACAGGTCCTCGTAGGCACTTCGTCTCAGGACCATTTTACTCATGTAGAGTCATACGCCGCCATGTTACCTATCCAACGGTAACTTAACCATCACAAATTAGAAACACTAATAATGTAAAACAATTTCAAATTTATAACTTTTAAGGGTTTTTACCCACATATTTTGGTGGCTACTAGCATGTACAACCGTAAGTATTAACCACATTTTGCTCTAACCTTTGTCAACATTTTCATTTAACGTTCTTTTTAATTAAAGTGGTTATATACTTTCAGGTTTGCACTGATGATGGATTGTTTAATCCGAAAACGTTTTGCAATGTGTTTGTGATAGCCCGTTTGAGGCAATTTTATATACCTTTTATAAAGGATTTTAACAAATTTTTTTGTAATAGTACTTAGTACAACTCTACAATGGACAAATTGGTAACTATTGTCATGTTCATTTTGAGGACTACAATCAGTGATGCCACATGAATTCAAAGAGAAATCATGAGATCTGGTGAAATAAATCATTAGAAATCATAAGATTTCGCTTCAGTTGCAAAGGGAATGGGGATTTTTAGCATGATAAAATTGATACTCCATAATTGCATATTAATCTTTATATAATAAATGTAGTAGTTCCCCCAAAACAGATTGTATTAGAGAAGGGCCCATTTTAGGGGAACCACCAGTATCAGATGACAACAACATCTCTAGACATCAGAATCATCATATGTGTGAGTGATGCTACTAAAAATAATGAATGTTCTGATATGGCTCATGCAGATTTGTATTAATACTGCACACATATAAAAAATATACACCAGTGGGTTCAGGGAGAGGTAAATAAAGGAAAAATAGGAGAGAAAAAGTCAACAGCTACAGATGTCAGTGTCACATCACAAGCATTATTTCACACAGTTTCTGAAACATCTTTGTATTAGTAAGAACTGTTTTTATTTATAGTAAAAAATATGTATGGATATAGAGTAGGATATTAATCAGGAATGCCAAAGTTTAAACCATGGTGCAGGACATAATGGAGGTTTATCTGCACATACTTCATATGTATACCTTGTTTCTTTTCTTTTCTCTTGTACACTGCCTACATTTCAAGAATAAATGAAGTTTGTGGTAATTTTCAGGCAAAGGTATCTCTTCTAAAAAATGTTGTTCTGTAATTTCTATTTTTAGTGCTTGTTTTCCTTTTGTTTGTTGTTTTACTAAAAGTCTGCCATCAACAGCCAATTCTATTTGTATGAGAGGTACTATTGTAGCTTCTCTAAAATCAGCTAGTTTTATATTTTCCTTGTCCTATTACATTTTTATGTAAAATAAAAGACTTCCATACCTCTACAGGGTGAATGATTAGTGTGAGGAAGCTCAGTAGATCTGTTATAGTAAAATGTTATAGTAAAAGTTATTAACAAAAATTGTAGGCAGCTTTAAACTCCACATTTTAAAATTAGTTACAATCTTACAGGGTGTTCCATAAGATGGTGGCAGACCAAACTTATGTTTTTTTAAATGGAACACCCTGTATTTTATTTTAAATTTAAGATCGGCTTCACTTCCACATCACAGCAATGTAAAGTTTTATTATGTTATACCGGGTATCTAAAAAGTTATAACCAATATTACCTGAAAATCGTATCAAGTTTAACTCCCTGTGCAATTAAAAAGGAGTATAGGAACATTGATCTATTGCAACCATAGTTTTTAAATAATTGTTAAAAATTATAAAACATATTCGTTTCCATAATATTCGTTAAATCAAATACAGGGTAAGTCAAAATGCAAATACATTATTTTCTTGGTAATTTTAAATAGAACACCCTGTATTTTATATCACTATCAAAAAGTAATAATATCGTACTTCAAATTTTATAAAGTACTCCCTATACCTAAAGTTATCAGTTTTCTAGATATTATTGTTTTTCCATCAAAGTATTAATTTGGTAGATATTTTAACGTTTACCAACTCACAATATAATTATTGTGAGTTGGTTATGATTGATTTGTCAAAAACTGACAGTTTGACATTATTGTTTAATAATTTAGTAACGAAATAACGACACAGAAAAGAAAACAATTTATTTAAAATAAAATTTATAAAAAATAACCGACGGAAAATAAAAAAAAATATAACAACACATAGAAAAATTAAAAACAACAGTAAGTTTAACTTATCTTACTTAAGTAAGGTGTTCAAAATGACCTCCCAAAACATCTATGCATGCTTGAAAACGGTCATTGAAAGAGTTGGTTACATTACTAAGCATTTGTAAAGAAATATTTTGAAATGCAATTCGGATTCTATTTTTCATATCATCCCTTGTTGTTGGGGGTATTTTATATACTTCGTTCTTAACGTAACCCCAAAAAAATGAGTCCATTTTATTGAATTCTGGTGACCTTGGGGGCCACCTTACCGGTCCATCCCTTCCGATCCATCTTTCCCCAAACTGATTATTAAGCTCACCACGTACTAATTCGTTGTGGTGCGCAGGAGCACCGTCATGTAGAAACCACATTTTTTCACGTATATTAAGTGGAACCTCTTCTAATAATATCGGTAACTGATTTACGATAAAATCTAAATAAATCTCACCATTTAAATTATCTTCAAAAAAATATGGTCCTACTACATGGTTACCGACGATACCTCCCCACACATTTAGAGACCATCTTGTTTGACTATGTGTTACTATGTGGTATGGATTACTTGTTGAGTAGTAGTGAAAGTTATGCCTATTAAAAGAACCGTTTCGATGGAATGTAGCTTCATCACCAAATAGGACATAATCAAAAAAATCTCTCTGCTCATTAATTTTTTCTAAGGCCCATTCACAAAATACTATTCGTTTCTGAAAATCATCATTAATTAATTCTTGGTGCTTTTGAATATGATAAGGGTGCATCTTGTTTTTAGATAGAATGTTTTGAACAGAGTAGTAACTAAGTTCTTGTTCATTGGAAATAGTCCTTATGCTTGTGTGTGGGTTTTCTGTAACCGCCATCAACACACTCATTTCGTTTTCCTCTGTCACACTAGTTTTTGTTCGTTCATGTTTTTCATAATTCACTGAACCAGTGCGGTTAAATCGATCTTTCAATTTTTCAGATGTATCTTGTCTAGGTTGTCGCCTATCTGGAAACCGTTCTTGATAAATTCTAGCTGATAGTAATGAATTTTTATTGCATTCCCCCAATATCCAGATCATATCTACCATTTCATCAGTAGTAAAATTCATTATTGCTAATTTAAATTGAATCAATTACTGAATTACTAAATAATAATTGTTGCTAATTTACGGTGTACCCCAATACTGAATTAATAAATATTAATGTCAAACTGTCAGTTTCTGACAAATCAATCATGGCCAACTCACAATAATTATTGGTAAACGTTAAAATATCTACCAAATTAATACTTTGATGGAAAAATAAAAATATCTTTAAAACTAATAACTTTAGGTATAGGGAGTACTTCATAAAATATGAAGTACGATATTAGTTCTTTTCGATAGTGATATAAAATACAGGGTGTTCTATTTAAAATTACCAAGAAAATAATGTACTTGCATTTTGACTTACCCTGTATTTGATTTAACGAATATTATGAAAATGAATATGTTTTATAGTTTTTAACAATTATTAAAAAACTATGGTTGCAATAGATCAATGTTCCTACAATCCTTTTTAATTATACAGGGAGTTAAACTTGATACGATTTTCAGGTAATATTGGTTATAACTTTTTAAATACCCGGTATAACATAATAAAACTTTACATTGTTGTAATGTGGAAGTGAAGCAGATTTCAAATTTAAAATAAAATACAGGGTGTTTCATTTAAAAAAAACATAAGTTTGGTCTGCCACCATCTTATGGAACACCCTGTAGGATTGTAACTAATTTTAAAATATGGAGTTTAAAGCTGCCTACAATTTTTGTTAATAACTTTTTTTTGTAATTTTTACTATAACAGA